TTTATTTTTATCTAAAAAACCATTGACTTTAAACACTCAATGATTCTTTAGTATTACTCTATTTAAGTCAGTTTTGTTTAAGGATGTACCGGAATTCTGGCCGGAATTTGTGATTTTTAAGTCAATACAAAATTCTTAACAAACACAATGTAATTTTAGATAAAGCTACAGTTAAGAGGTCTAAATTAATTTTAATTTTTCGTTTGTTGCACTCTTGTCAGTGGAGGTTTTTTAAACGTTAGGAATTTTAATTGAAATTTTAAAAGAAAAAAGATTGCTGCCCCATGCCAAACCCTTAGTCAATGTAGCAGTACTTTGTAGCAGCAAGCTATAATATAGTAGATGATTTTTTAAACCGCTTAACTGTAGCTTTGCCAAATTTTATTTGTAGTAATCGCTTATGTAAGGATTTCTAAAAATTTAAGCAATATTGTGGTGCAAAATGAGTTGCTATCCATTTTTTTGCCAAAAGCGAGCTCTTTTTTCATCAAAACTTTACCTGCTTCCGAGAATAGTCTCATTCTAAATGTTTCTTAACTTTTAAGTAGTTAAAAAGTAAATGATGCCTAATTGGAAATTTTAAATACAGTGAATATTTCAATTTTAACCTTAATGTAAATATATAAAATGAATAAATAATTTTAAATATAAATATTATGCAGGTTTAAACTTTCAATAAATAAAATTATAAGAAACAAATAAAAGCAACATATTAGTTTTAAATGAAACTAGAATCAAATCAATGAAATCCCGTACTTCTTTAGTTTTGCTAACCAAATCAATTTTCTGCAAACAATGTTTAACAAAATGATGTGGCCCATTATGAAAGTATTCAGGTATGTTTCTACTATAGCGTCTGTATTAAAAATTAAAAAATGTCTAGAAATAATCTATTAACTAAATAATTAAATGAGTTACTTGTTATTATTATTATTATTATTATTATTATTATTATTATTATTATTGTTGTTATTATTATTATTATTATTATTATTATATATATATATATATATATATATATATATATATATATATATATATATATATATATATATATATATATATATATATATATATATATATATATATATATATATATATATATGTATTAATACCAATCAATTAACATATCAAGAAGAAACTTTTTTTTTAAAATATAAACTGACTTATAAATAGGATAGTAATTAAAAAAGAACTTCTAGTAAAATTTGTAAATGCACAAAAATAAACAATATAAATGTTATTAAACCAGGTTTTCTAATAAGAACTTGCATCTTTCATGCAGCAGAGATTACTTTTTTGTAGCCTAAAACAGAGTACATTATAATAATAACGATGATATAATTAGTACTATTGTTATTGGTAATTTAAATTACTCTTTTTTTTATGAAAAAAAGGTAATTTAAGTTAAACTACCTTATTTCTTGATGGAGTTTTGTTGCAAGAACAAACTACACATTAAGTTAAACACTAAAAATCTTAACAAATTTGTTTTAATTGGAGTAGGCGGCGTTATACTTTTCAGTATACTTGGAGGCTTAAATTCTAAATGATTTCTGCGGTTTGTGGTGTTTCCACCAGTTATCAAAACGGTAAAACAATTAATAAATGCTACTTTAAAATTAGCGGCTCTCTTGAAATACTTCCAAACTTCAGACACCTAAGAAAGATAGGGAAACACAAGAATACTAGGTTTATTAACTGAAGGATTTCGAAGACTTTCTTAAAAATATATTGGAAGTTGACAATCATGAATTACTTTTTATATAAAAAAACACTTTAATATAAAAAAGCACTTAAAATTGTTTAAATACTTTTCGCATAATACTTTCAAAGTTTAGTCTTTTGGAAGTAATACTTAAAATAACAACTAAATAAAATAATATAACAATAAAATGACAAATAAAGCTCTTACAAAAGTAGTTGGGAAGGTCAAGACAAGTTGACGTCAACAATTTTACTTTTATAAATAGATTTAATTACATGTTAAAAGAAAAATTAGGCAGCGTTTGCAGCCCGATGTTACATACTTGCTCAACCTTCAATGTTTTAATAAAGCTATTTATATTCCTACTTTTTAAAAACCGTGTTGTGTTTTAAAAAGACCCGACTACAGAACTAAATAAGCACTCACGAGATGTTTACTCGTAACACTATTAATGGAATATATAACATACCGCTCAATTTGTGGATTGATGTTTTGTATTTTAGGCAAAAACAAAGTGGATAACAGAATATATAAACATCCACTGTGTTATTGCCAAGAAAATGTCTAGTCATCTGGGTTTTCTTACTCTTACATGGTTGCTATGAGCGTTGCTAGGGACCAGAAATTTACAACTTTAAAATAAATTGTAAAGGTATTTATAATTTTTTTTTACAAAAACAATTGTCTTTTTAAATTCTTTGGTGTTTAAAATATCTAAAAGGTATGTTTTTGAAAAATCGAAAAAATGAAGACTATTTGTACCACCTTAAAGTTTTGTTCATACGTTTTAATTTAAAATAAAATAAAAACGTTTCCGAGCATAATTTAATGGCGAAAGTTGAATTGACGCTATCACTGCAAAATAGTAAATCTTCAGAACAACCTGTCCGGTTATTGCTTTTTCTTGCAACGATCTAGGTTATTAGTAAATCTAATCATGAAAGAAAAATCCGGTTATGGGGAATAGCCGGTCGGTTACTGACGGCCTAAACTTAACTTCAAGTTAAACTTGTTTAGCTTGAGTTTTAAATTGCATTAATTTTTAATTAGTGGTTAATTAGGCGAAAATACGAAGGTTGTACCTAAAAGCCGGCCCGGCTCAAAAACCTAAAACCTGGCCAGGATAAAAAAAGTTTTTTTTTATATGTATAAATAAACGAAATTATATAACTATTATGCCAAATTCACTATTGATAACAATATTTATCACAACATAAACCGGAAACTTATCATTTATTTGTTCAAATGCATTGGCTTCATGAAAATGTTATGTGAGAAGACTGACACAGCGCGCAAGCATTATGACACCAACGATTGCACTAATTGCATAGTGCCCATTTTAACGAGCACAACGGTGTTTAACACAAAACAGAATGTCACATATATTTTCGTTATCAACGTTAGCGCATATTCGTTGTATAAGTCTAGCACGAATGTATCGACGGTATAATGCCACAGCTTTCGGATATACAAAATGTTCACATCGTTAGTAACAGCTCCTGCAAATATTAGTTTAAAAACTCTACAACTATTTCCATCAATTTATTGAGGTGCATTAAAAGCAACTTTTCCCAAGCTCCAATTTTATTAATAACAGATGACCGTAATATCATATATCTCAGAAACATTTCATGCTTCGAAGTATTACCCCCATTCAGAGAATCCGCAAGCCCTACTGTTTTATCAAGAGTATTGGCAATTAAGAGTGTCTAGTGGTTGTTTTTAACGTGAAGGGTTATTGCGAGGAGTTGCGTCAGGGTTAAGGGTTATTTCGAGGAATTGCAAAAAGGGTTATTGAAGGAATTGGGTAAAATTCTTCATGGTTTATTGAGACAACCACTTTTTGCATTGTTGTCACTCACTCAATTATGAAGAATGGCTTTGCGTGAACGGTAGTTTCCATTTGGTCCTTTATTATTTTTCAGTACTTTCTGGTTGATACAATTAAAATGATTTTTTAAAGTTTTGTATAAAATCCACACATCTACTTATTGGTTTCATTATCTCATCGCTTTCTATAAAATATAAATTTACATTTTTGAATATTACTTTATTATATTATTTTTTTATTATCTTACTTTATTATATCATTTTTTCTATATATATATTAAACTTTTAACCAATAAAAAGGTAAACAAATGTATGTCTTTTGCAAAAAGATTTTTAGAAAAATAAAGGTCGGCTTTAAGGTTGGGTCGGGCCGGGTTTTAGTCTTTTGGGCCGGGTCGGGCCGAGTTTAAGGTACAAATAAATACAAAGTGCGCAGTTAGACCTATTAAATTTAGTAGATTATTAGCTTACATTAATAATGAGACCAAATTATTATTTGTACAAACGTAAATTGGTCAATTCAGTAAATATTTTTAAAGTTAAAAAACCATATTACATGGAAATAAAATTTACAATCCAATTAGTCGCTCTAAACAATAAAATAAAGATCAGTATTGTGATCAGTATTGAGTATCTAAACAATAAAATAAAGATCAGTATTGTAATTAATTTTGTAAAAGTTCTATATCTTCACAAGATATAGAACATTTAAAAAATTGTTCTACAAAATTAATCATATAATACAACAAGATTCTTGTTGTTAAAGACTCAAAAGTTTTAGCCATAAATAACTTAACTAAACTAATTTTTACTTTTTTAACTTAAAACTTTTTTTAAATTTTTAAACTTTAAACCTTTAGAATAAAGTCTTTAGTCTAAAATTTGCCACATTTTAATAAATTTAGAGTTTGCTTGTTTTCAGCTAAAAATTTGATTTGATTGAATTTCAGTTTAAAAGTTGATTGAAACCTGATTATGCTCACATAGTATTTCTTAAAGTCATCTTACTTTAATCTAGTTTAACTTATTAAACTGGATATAGTTTTTTCTATGTCTGAAAATCAGGTTTAAAAAAAGCTATAATCAGTTTAATAATTGTGGTCAAATACATATCGTTCAGGCTGATCGATATATATTTGACCACCAATAAAACAAATCTGCACTACTGCTAATGAAGTGTTATGATTAGATTCAGTAACACTCTTTCTAAACAACATAACATTTCACGAGCAGTGATGCAAACCTTTTTTTTTTTTTTGATGTTCTAAATATGTAAATCATCAAGCAAAAAATGCCCAAGCTGTCAAGGTTATATTTATAATCAAACAAATGAACTATAATGGTTAGCAGTTGAAAATTTTTGATTGGTTATAAATAATGTCCCAATAACATAAAAATAAATCCAAAATTGTATAGTCAAATGGTTTTATGTTTAAATATTATATTTATATTTTATTTATGTTACTAGATCAATTTATTGTTTCTCTCAACATTAGTGTTTGGAATTCAGTGTTGGTATAATGTTTCATCAGCAACATATTAAAGGTAATATAATAAATATTCAAAGTATTATTGATTTTTGTTGAATGATTTAAGATTTTTTTTTTCTTTCAAAAGATATGATAAATAGTTTTATTGTAATTTTATAATATTATTAAACTTAACAATATTATTAAATTATTTATAATATTATACAATATTATTAAACTTGAAAAGTGTCTCACATATGAATCGTTAACTTGGAAAAACAGACATGCTATGTGAATTTTCGCAGGACATGTCCCCTTTTTAGCAACTCTTTAGCGGATGAAAGATTTCAGTTGGTTACAGGCCAATTAGGTAAAACTCTTGGATTCAATACCGGACACAATTCTGTACGCAATTTGATTAATGAATTTGCTGAAATAAAGGAAATATTGTTACAGAAATTTATTTATGTTAAAATAGATGCAGCCACTTGACACCAAAATAACTGTTTGGAGATGAATATTCAATATTATTATGCGAAAAAATTTTAAAATTTTGGCACTGATAGATACACAAGGACAGCACAACCCTATTGCTATCAAAAAAATGGTGGAAGATACTTTATATAGATTTGGTATCAGCAATGTTTAAATAGTATGTGCAAGTGTAGGCAATGCAGCCAATATGATTAGAGCAATCACAATTTTTAACAAATATTCAGGTGATGAAAATTTATGAGATGAAGCTTTGCATGATTAAGAAAAAGTGGAATTTTTAAAACAGGGTACAAATGAAGAAGAAAGTGAAGAAGCTCTGGAAAAAATCTAGCCTTTATCAACCCAGAATGGTGTCAACAATTGTTTAATGATATTAAGCTAATGCGCTGTGTTATTCACACTTTGCAGCTAGCTATATGTATGGTTTAAAAAAACATATATTGCCCAACTTTTAGCAAAAGTCCGTTATGTTGTAAAGAAGCTAAGAAACTTACATACAATATTTTTAGCAAGGAAGCAATTCAAGGTTCTTTCAATTTTGGATAATTAAAAAATATGACTCGCTGGTCATCTAATCATCTTTGCAATTTTTTAAAAAAACCACATGATGTGACAGTTAATCGACATTACTACAGGAGAGTTCGTAAAGGAATGGTTGAAATTGAAATCTAACCTAGAGAAGAATCATAGACTATTTGCAGAAAACATTTCAAAATCTATGCAAAAACAAGTAGAAAAACCTTTTAGTTTTTAACCTTTTAGCTGCAGTTTATATTGATGCTAGATATAGAATACTATTAGAAGAAAACCAAATATTATGAGCAAAACAAGGCTTAAAAACAATAGCAGAAAAAATTTATAAAAGCGATGCTAAGAATATGATAGAAAGTCAAGAAATAAGAAATACTGCTGCGCTATCTACAGTACTTCTTCAGTTTAAAGTGAATCTAATTCCGATGGAGAAGAGGGTGAGTTTGAAAAGGAGCATGATAAAAAAAAAAAAAGGAGAAGTGTGACCAAAATTAATTTTTGTCACGCTTCTTGCTTTAATTTTTTTGATAAAAATACTTTTAATACAAATTTTTTGGACGACTGTAGGATAATGGAAGAAATGCGACGTTCTAAAGTGAATTCAGCTTTTGAGTGAATTGAAGAATACCTAAAAAGAATACAAGAACCGTGTAGAGTTGTCACTTGCATACCTATCTCACAAGCAAGTGTAGAGAGGCTATTTTCTGCTCTTAACTTTGTATCGAGCAATCTACGTCCTTCACTCAAACCTGATATTTTAGATTTATTTTTAAGGATGAATCAAGATTTTAATTAACAAAATGTTAATTGTACTTAAGTTACTGTCATAAAACATTTAAAAAAAGTTCTCTTTTTTTTTTTTTTTTTTTTGCGGAGCTGCTCTGGAGCTAGAGCCGGAGCCAAAAATTCTAATAGAGCTGGAGCCGGAGCCAGTTTTTAGACCTCGGCTCCAAACCCCTGTTTAAATTTCTTGTTTGTATTTTAAAGTTGGTTTTAAAGTTAAATTTATTTAAAAGTAGGTTCAGAAATAAAACTGCAATTTAAAGAAATCATTTAATATTAAAGGTAAATACTTATTATTATTATATCTAGAGTAATGTTTTAACCTGTTTATATTACATAAGTTTTAATTTGCAATTTCTGAAGTAGATTAAAATATAAAACTTTTCGATGGAACTGTTTTTACTTGTCGATGGAATGGTTTTACTTAATTTAGTCAAAGGAACTAATGGTTTTACTCAATTCCTGAATTCATGGCCCCCAAATTTTTTCAAAAGAGTTTTATTTCTTTATTTTTTATCAAAGCAGGTTTTTAATAGTAAGTTTTGATATTTTAGGTTTTTTGGTGCTTTGGCCCCCACTAGAAACTCACGCCGTTGCCCATTACTCTAAGTATTATACTTTTATACAGTTTACATATATAATTAATCTACAAAAATGCCGAAAGTAAAGGCTGCAATTACACGGATGAAAAGTGAAAAAATATATTGTGGCGGCCCATGTGAACTATCAATGACAGATCCAAGCACTTTTAGACAAGTTATTCAGTATTAATACTATCTTATTCATATAAATCCAAATGCAGATATCATATTAGTGACTCAGCAAATTAGCAATAATATAAAATCAATTTGGGCTACAGTAAACCCAAGATTACCTCTTATAACTGACAAATCTATTAATAGGAAAGTTAAAGATCTTCTCGTACTTGTTAAGGATATTAATCACAAGCATGGAAAAGCAAGCGCTATAAGAAATCTTGATGCAAACTTGGACAAACTTTTTGATATTTCTGCATGTTCCTGTTTATTAGATGTGTTTCCCTGTAGTGACAGAAAAGTTTTATGTAATAAAGAAAATTGCATCGAAGAACATAATGTATGCCTTTGTTCTCAAAGTAATAAAGTACCTCTGGAAGACAGAGCTTATCTTTGTGATCAGAGGAAAAAAATTGGTCTAAAAGGTGTATATCAACTTTCTTCCGTCGATAGATTATCTGTCAAAAGGTTTCAAAGACTTGATAAAGAACGACAAAAAATATCTCATAAGCTAGTTAATGAAGATGAATCCCTCATAGCACAAGTAAACTTAATTGAAGAAACAAGTGGTTTGACCAATACGGTGGCAAATATTTTATAAACATGAAATATTTGTAATAGATGAAACAGAAAGCATTTTATTTTATTAACTCTTTTTAGGATGAAGGTTAATGGAAACCAATTAATAATCCTATTGGAAAATACAACTTAGTTAAACTTCCAAGATTTGCAATGGAATTAGTCAGAAATGAGTGTTCGTCAAATGTAGGTGCAGCCCTTGCAAATGCTTTACTACATGACGTCTCTTACAAATCTCATACAAAACATCTCTTGAAAAATGACGTTGATATTAAAGATATTTTGATTGACAAATGCAAGTTAGATAAGGCCAAGTCAAAAGTAAAAATCATTAGTGAAGAGGTGGACTCAGAACAAAAAAAACCAGTTAATTTGTCTTGGGATTGACAAAAGTAACCAAGCTCAATCAAATAACTAAAACAAGTTAAGTAATAAACTTACCTCAAGGAGAAGTATTAAAGAAATGCATTGAACCTGAACATCAGACTTGGTTGGGAAGCGGGAGCGATCACTCTCGAATACTGACCACGGAAATTATATTTAGTTGCGAAAAACTGGCCAGGTTTTTTAGTCGTTTTGAGAACATTAAAGTTTTTGTACGAAACAAAAAATTTTTGTTTTACGGACATACATGGAAACATAAAAAACTTGAATGTTCTCAAAACATCTTGGTGCGAAAGAATAAAAAGAATATTCGCGAAAACTAAAAACCCGCCAAATTAACGAACAAACTAATTCTATTGGTTTAAAAAATACGCTGACTAAGCGAAAGGAAGTTCTAGAGTATTCTGTTGAAATGCTTTAGTAATTGTATTATTCATAATTTGTTACGTTTTGAGATTTCTAGCATTATTTGTTTTAAGAATATATATTATTTGTTTACAAAAATAAATGTTTTAAATATATGTTAATTAAATTGTCAAAATTTTTAAAGTTTATTATAAATAATAGATTTTATTAATATATTCTTATTTTTTATTTAAAAAGTATGTGTTCTTTATGTAAATGTAATTTTGTGTATCTGTTTTTTATTGTAATGTATCTTTTAAAGCAATGTTAATGAATTAAACAAAGGCATACAAAAATAATTGCGTTTTCAACAAAGTTATAATCATTAAAGTTAATAAAATTATGTAACAAACATATAAGAAGTTTCTGGATACTAAACACAAGCAACGCATACAAAGTAATTCTCAGATAAATAAGAACCGCGCCTGAGGTCACGACAGAACACAAATATATATAACAAATATTAGATATAAAGAAAAGTTTCTAGTAATTGGTTTACTAACTCTAATTATTTTCGCTTAAGTTGTCATTCTTAAGACTCGTTATACTTTTTTCAGCTTCAAATACTAATTAAAATTTAAAAGCCCATTCACTAAACATCATCAGCGATAATGTGAAGCAGTTTCGCTTCCTCGTCATAAAGTATTTTTAACCTTTTTAGTTGATGTCTATCTTGTTAATTTAATTTCTATTGTAATTCAATGGTTTAATTATTTCATTTGTTTATCTTACTAAGAAGAATTGCTTCAAATATGTTAAACTTTTCAAATTACGCAAAACATAAAATAGGTATTAAAAAAATTAACTTTTTTTATTTATAAAATAATTTAGCTTAAATAAAACTGAAACTTGCAAACTTTGTGAAATAAAGAATATTTTTTCCTTTTTAAATGATTGTAAGATGTTACTTTATATTAAAAACATCGTTTAATTTTATAAAAAAATTATAAAAGAGCGATGTTTCGAAAATATTTGTTCTAAACGTAGCTTTAAGTTTTTTCGCGTAGATATTTTATTTGCCTAATTTGCCTAATAAAAAGATATTTTATTTGCCTGATTTTTTTTATTTTTGTAATTATCTTTCATCAGTCCAATTAATCTTTTGCGCTTTTTTTGTTTTGTTTTTTAAAATGTTCTCAAAACG